TTCCTGAGGGGCTCACCCAGTGAAGTGGCCGCTGCTGCCGCGGCGCCCGCCAGCTGGAGCGGCAGGCGGGCCGGGGAGGCGGGACCGAGGCTGCAGGACCGAGGCTGCGTGGCCGAGTCGGAGGCAGCTGTCCCGGAGGGTCCTCCCTCCCGGGTGGTCATCACCTGACCAGCTCCCTCCGTTCCCCGCGGGCCACAGAGGCTGGCTGCACCCCAACCCCAAGGCTAGGGAGCCCCTGCCTCCAGCTGCTGCTCTGAGTCCTGTGGGCATGTTGTCCAGTCGTCCCGCCTGGACGGGGCCTGGCCAGCAGGGAGCCAGCCCAGGTGGTGCGGGTCTCAGGGCGGCCGTGGCTGCATGAGGCATGAGGCAGTCGCCTGGAGCTGCTGTGTGTGTGTGTGTGTGTGGTGTGCATGCGTGCTGAGTGCACACGTGTGTCCGAGCACGCGTGTACACAGGGGGAGTCAGCGTGTTCCTCACCTGCCCACACTCAGGTCAGGTCTCTGGGGAGGACTGAGGTCCTGTTGGCTGGGGGTGGGCACGTTGGGCCCAGGCAGGCGTCCTCGGGGAGGGGCCCTGATCCCCGTGTCCCCCACGCCAGGCGCCCGGCCGGCCTGTTTTCTTTGGAAACAGCGAACATTCCTGGTGCCGCGCTGACATGCAGATGACAAAAGTGCCCACGGGGTCTGCGGGACCCCCGCCCGCCCGCCCGGCTGTGCTCCCAGGTCCACGGAAGGCTCCTTCCGATGCCAAAAACATCTGGAAATGCTTCCAAGGACCGGATCCGAGCTCTTCGCACTTGGAAGCTGGCTGCCGTGTAGGACGAGGAGGCGGCGGTTCCAGCTCGTGCCCTGGCCCCCGCCTCGCCCGCCAGGGGTGCCCCAGCCCTGGGCGACTCTGGGACCAGCTCCCGGGAGGTTTCTCACGGCAGGAGCTGGAGATGGTCCAGAAGGCTGGGCGCTGGCCCGATCCTCAGCCGGCCGAGCTGCCCTGTAGCCCTGGGTGTGTGTGGGGGGCTCCTCCTCTGACACGCGGTCTTGTCGAGTGTCCTTGTGAAGGGTGATCCTGTGGAGAATTCTAGAAGCCACGGTGGCCCAGCTATCCTCTCTCCTGAGGCGGGGACACCAGAGGGGCCCCACGGTGACCCCAGCCCCGCAGCGTGCGCCAGGAAAGCACCCCTGTGGCTCCCACAGGGGACCAGGCCGGGTGATGCTCCGTGTGCTTCGGGCACCAGGGAGACGGCCCAGTCTGCGCTGCCCGCCAGCATGGGCCGGGCTCCAGGCTGGGCCCCGCAGAGAAAGCAAACCCCAGCCCAGGACGCCGGCTCGCGCTCCGCCGGCTCCCAATTAGTCGCCGGGGGTCTTGGCTCAGGGAAGTCCTGAGGTGAATCATTCTTCCTCCAAATTTAGGCCCAGATTTAAAAGCGCAGAAACCAGAGGCAGCGAAAGTGCATGGAGTGAAGCAGACGAGTGTCCGAAAGGTCTGCACGGGACCCGCGGGGCTCCACCTGCCGGGGTCACCCGGCTCCGTGGACACGGGAGGGTCCTCGCCCCGGGCCTGCTCACGCCCACCCCTGCTGGAGGCCCGTTCACGCGTGGTGCACGTGGCTGGAGTGTGTCCAGAGGGGCAGGAGAGGCCGCCACGTCCCATGCCACGGCTGGACCCTGAGGGCAACAGGGAGTGGGGGGCTGGGCGTGGCTCTGAGCCTCAGTTTCCCTGACGCAGCCAGGAGGCTGCATTTGCCACCCCCACTGGGGGTGGACTCCTCCCGCATGCGGGCCCGTGATGACGCACGTCGGTCGCTCTCCTGAGTCCGCCCACCTCCTGCGGGGGCTCGATGGGGCGGCTGGGAAAGTGGGTGCTGAGGCCTCTGCCGGCCGGGGAGGAGACATTTCCTGAAGGTGGATTTACGGGCTTCCCGAAGGTCCTGACACCAGCCACAAGCTCCGCCCCCACCACGGTCTGCAGAGGCGTCTCTCCCGCGGGGAAGCCCCCTTCGAAGAGCCTGGGCTCCCGGGTGCCCCCACCAGGCACGTGAGACCCCACCCGCCCACACGCCTCCTCTGAGGACACAGCCAGGCCCCATGTCTCAGTGACGGGCGACGGCCACACGGAAATGCCAGAGGAAGCCGGAATGAGAACCACGGAGCCACTGCCCTTGAAACAGGCTGGTGTCCGTGGTTGTGGTTCAGAAAAATGCAGGCAAGCATGTGTGTGCATGTGTGCGTTTGCATGCGTGAGTGTGCAAGCATGTGTGTGCGTGTGCAGCCGGCTGTCCGCCGGGATGCAGGGCCTCAGCCCCCACCCCACTTGGCGTTTCTGTGGGTGAGGTTCCTTCCACGGGACGTGAAGACGAGGCTGACGGGTGAACCTGAGCAGACCTGGTGCCGGGGCTCAGGCAGCGGGCGCTCCCGCGTGCAGGTCACGTGCCCTCGCGGGTGAGTGTGGTCCCCAGGCATGGAGCGTCTGTCGTGGTGGCCTCTCCTGATTTGCATGGATGGTGGCAGGGACCTCAAGGGCAGACCTGGTGGGTCACTCGGGGCACCGGGCTGCTGGTGTCCGCGAGCTCCCTCGGGAGGACCGGGTCTGAGGGTTTGCGCCCCCTGCTCCACCGCCAGAGTGCGGCTGCGCGGCCCTGAGTGGGACAGAGAATCGGTGTGCAGCCTAGCACTGCCCACGAAGAATTTTAGGAATTTCCTCCCGGCCTGAAAGACACTCATTCACAGCCTCCCTCGAGTCACGGCGGAGGGTGAAAGGGCCTCTGTGATTGTGCCAGAGAGGGCTGTGCTCCTGGGGGGGACGGGGAGGACGGGGGGCTGTGGCCCAGGTGCTCCTGGGGGGCTCCGTGGCGGCTGCAGGACCCAGACCTGCCTGCCGAGTGTCTCGGATCAGACCCGTCCTCGGGCAGCCCCCAGCCCCACCCTGCATCAGCCCTGGAACCCCATCATCCTGGGACCCCTGGACTCCCTATCTGCTCCAGACCCCTGATATCCGCTCATCTCCAGGCTGAGCCCCACTCCCAGGGCCCTGTGCCCTCACCTGGCCGCCCCCGCCCCCCCCCCCGGTTTTCCAGTGTCTGGGGCAGGCTTTGGGGTGCTGAGTCTGTCACTGTAGGTGCTGGGAGGGGGTGCGGCGATGTGCTCACTGAGGAGGGGGCACTAAGTAGGACCTGCTCACTCCCACTTGGGCCACGGGAGCCACGGGAGAAGCTCACAACCACGCTGGCAGATACCGACTCACACGTGGGCCCGTTCTCATTAAACCCAAGTGGCCCGACCACAAGCGGGTCTGAAAGGTGAGACCTGGCCCGGAAGGTGCTGAGCAGCCAAAGAAGATGGGTGTGGCCAGGGCGGGGCCCTGGATGGGGGTCCTGGGCGCGGGTGTTCCTGAGTGGGATGGCTGGTGGGAAGGCAGCAGAAGAGGAGTCTCGGGGGAGAGGGGGCTTTGGGAAGAGGGAGCCTGGGTCCTGGGTGGGGGCCTGCCCCCAGGCTGGGCTGTCTCCGGGGCCTGAGGCGCCAGTGTGAGTGGACTGCCCCCCACTCGCTCAGCCCTGGGCTTGAAGGAAGAGGTGTCACCTTGTAATTAAAACAAGATGAGAAACCATGAAAACCAGGACAGGAGGTGCGCTGTCACCCACACAGCAGGTGCTGGCGCACGGACCGGGTGTAGGACACGATACACCAGTGGGCACATCTGGACAGAAGTTGTCATACAGACCAGGACAGACGGCGCGGGGTGGTCTGCGGCCAGTGTCTCCCCACCTCGCACCCTGTGTCGGAGGTTCGCCCCCTGAATGGACAGGCACAGTCCCGAGGCCCCTCCTGAGGCTCCGTCAGGTCACTCAGCGTGACATTTCCTGGGCCACTGACACCCGTGCTGTCCCTGGGGCTGCGTGTCCACTAAGCCCACTCCACAGGGACATCCAGGCACCCGGGGGCGCCCACACAGCTGTAACAGCGGCGAAGGGGACGGGTCCGTCTGGCGGCCGTCTCTACTCGTGGGGCTGAACCTCCACGTTAAGCATGGCACCGTTCAGCGTTGGTTTCCTCCCGCTGTCTGCAGGCTCAGCGTTGGGTTTCCTCCCGCTGTCTGCAGGCTCAGCGTTGGGTTTCCTCCCACTGTCTGCAGGCTCAGCGTTGGGTTTCTTCCCGCTGTCTGCAGCAGCTGAGCCCCCGCTGCAGCTGGGCCAGCACCCCTGGTGCCCTGGGCAGGGCGTAGCCTCACGGAGGTCCTGCAGGACCCGATTGAGACATGCCTGTGGCCACCAGGAAGGGGCCTGGGGTGCCGTGGCCTCAGCAGCTCCCTCAGACTCCATGTTGCCATGTCCCACATGAACACATGTTAACAGCATCGAGAAGGAGCTGAGGCGGCTGGTGTGGGTGAGAGCCCCGTTTCCCCAGAGTGGGGTGCATCTCGTGCCCCAGCCCCCCTCACACGGCGGGCGGTTCTGGGAGATACAACGTAAGGCACGTGGGGAACTCAGGGGTACATTCTTGTCAGCCCAGGCCCCACTCTGCTGGCGCCTGGCGCGGTGGCGACCAGGGCCTCCCGTGGTCTGGGGAGGCCTCGCCCGGCGGGCAGATGAGATGGGCAACCGTGGAGCTGAGCTCAGAAGCCCGCCGACTCGGCTGCACAGAGGCTGCAGGGAGGACAGAGCCCAGGCGGGGCCCTGGCGGCAGCTACACACAGCTGTGTCAGACGCCGCCCCAGCTCTCGTGGGGGACACGTGGTGGGAGGCTGCAGAGGAGGAACTGAGGTCTGAGATGGCCACGGAGGGGCTGCCCTGCCTGTCCAGGCCCACTGTCCTTGGCCCTCACCCTCACCGTGGCCCTGGCACCGGCCACTGAGCAGGACGAGGGTAGCCCAGCTGGCGTGGGGCTGGGCGGGCACCCTCACCCTGTGAACCCCGAGCCCATGGGGAGGCCATCACCCTCCCAGCAGGCATTCACAACACGTGGACGTTCCTGGGACTGGAACCCACTTGGAACACGTGCCCCCTGAAGTCACTGGGCGGCGGGCGTCCCCCGCACTGTGCACTCGCTGACGGGACAGCCGTCGGTGAGGCGCGGGTCCAGGTGACGCAGCGCACACCACGCAGAGCTGATGATGACGTAGAGGATTACAATGAACCCACAAGCCTCTTTCATCCCCATGTGGCCCGGCTGGTGGGCGAGGGGAGCACGCTGGCCCCAGCCGAGCTTGAGCATCAGTCCCACCTGCCCGGTCGGGAACAGTGTCACGTTGTTACGGGGAGTCAGTCACCGGGAACAGTGTCACGTTGTTACGGGAGTCAGTCACCGGGAACAGTGTCACGCTGTTACGGGGAGTCAGTCACCGGGAACAGTGTCACGTTGTTACGGGGAGTCAGTCACCGGGAACAGTGTCACGCTGTTACGGGGAGTCAGTCACCGGGAACAGTGTCACGCTGTTACGGGGAGTCAGTCACCGGGAACAGTGTCACGTTGTTACGGGGAGTCAGTCACCGGGAACAGTGTCACGCTGTTACGGGGAGTCAGTCACCGGGAACAGTGTCACGCTGTTACGGGGAGTCAGTCACCGGGAACAGTGTCACGCTGTTAC